GAGCGTCGTCAGCTTCGCGGAGGATGTCCTGCGACTCAGCAACCGCGCCGATCCTCAAGCCTCCGAAGCGAAGAAGCTGAGAATCCTGATGCGAGGCGTCAAAGAAAACATCTTCGGCGGCCTTGTGCGAGCCCCGCCTACCACAGTCGAAGGGTTCATCACGGAGGCAACAAACATCGAACGTGCCCTTCAAGCACGGGCCTCCCATTACCAGCGACTTCCCGGCGTCGCGGCCCTCTCGACTTCAAGCTGCAACAGCCCGGACCTCTGTGAGATTATCCGGGACGTCGTGCGGGAGGAAATCAGGAAGCTGCTACTTGCTGCCAGAAGCCCGGCTACGCCCTCACTCGCCGAGATTGTCGGGGAAGAACTTCAGCAGGCGCTGCAGCCAGTAGTTCTCGCCAGCGCCGCTCCTGAACCACCGAAGCTGAGCTACGCCGCAGCTTCCCGACGACCACCGCCCCCTGCTCACTCGTATACGGCGCCACCTCGACGTGAACCTCTAGCGCCGCAGTTTTCCCGACGCCAGGAAGACCGGGCGTACGTCCGCCCAGAACAAGCTGTGCCACGAAAGACCGACGTGTGGAGGACGGCCGATCGACGCCCGTTGTGTTATCATTGCGGTGAAGCCGGCCACATTTACCGTCGATGCCCCTACCGATAACTGGGGCTGCGCGGGTTCCACCCGAACGACCCGCGCCCAAGGTACGACGAACGCCCTCGTGGCATCGAAGAGTACCTCCGACGTACGCCATCCTCAACGCCGCTCCGCCGTGAGTCCCGCTCACCGTCGCCCGGACGTTCAGCGTCTCCAGCGCCACGGCCCCGCCGAGAGAGCCTGTCTCCTTTGCGCCGCCGGGAAAACTAAGTGCGGCAACGCCTAGAGGTGGCGTTGCCGAAGACGACCGAAGTAAAGAGCCTACAGGAACGCCGGAGCGCTCCCACTCTCTCGACGCTACGCATCACAACGACGTCCCTGCATCGGTGTCCAACAACCTAAACATTACTATCGACGGCCACGACGCATCGGCACTCGTGGACACCGGAGCAGACTACTCAGTCTTGAGTGGGAGGCTCTCTCGTCGCCTGCGAAAAGTGACAACGCCGTGGGAAGGCCCTCAAATACGAACCGCCGGTGCGCACCTCATCACACCAGTCGGGCGATGCACTGCTCGCGTCGAGATCCACGGTGAGACGTGCCCCGTGAAGTTCGTCGTTCTGCAAGACTGTTCGAGGGACGTTATCCTCGGAATGGACTTCCTCTGCGAGTATGGCGCCGTCATCGACCTCGGAGCAAACCGGTTGAGGCTACGAAAACCTGTTTCACCACCGGAGGAACTCAAAGCGACGTAATCTGCGGTCCGAGTCTTCGCCAGCCACGTGAACTTACCGCCGCGGTCGAGTGTTTTCGTACCCGTCGGGATCACCGAAGCTTTTGCCGGCGAAGTTCTGCTCGAAGGAAGCCTCCTGTTGCTTCTTGGAAGAGGAATCGGCGTCGCAAGAGGAGTTGCTGAACTTCAGGATGGTCGCACTGTGGTCCTCGTTACAAACTTCCGAAATGAAGCGCAACACCTCACAAAAGGTGCAGCCGTGGGCCAGGTCAAGGAACTTCGAAACTCCGCCGCTATCGCCGCCATTACTGACGAATCCTCGCCACCTCAGCAAAACAGTACATCGCCAGTGCAGCTCGACATTGACCCTAAGCTTCCGGGCCCGGAACGACGGCAGCTGCTTAACCTTCTCGCCGAATACCGCGATTGCTTTGCGACGTCGTCGAAGGTGCGCCAAACCACCGTTGCGAAGCACCGCATCGTTACTGAGGACGACGCGCGCCCTGTGCATCGATCGCCTTACAGAGTCTCCGTTAAAGAAAGGGAGATGATCCAGGAGCAAGTTCAAGAGATGCTGAACGACGACATAATACAACCTTCAAGCAGTCCGTGGGCCTCTATAGTTGTACTGGTTAAGAAGAAGGACGGAACGCTTAGGTTCTGCGTGGACTACCGGCAGCAGTTCCAGTCGTCGAACATTCTACGCCGATTAGTCCAGAAGCTTACGCATGCTCATAAGGCGCTCCGCGTGGCGAACCGGGGTCAGTCTCGATTCAGCGTTCGACCGTGCTGCTTTGCCGCCTTCGACGCCCGCGAAGCTCTGTTGTTATCTTTCTTTCTTCTTTTATTTTTGGGCACAAGTTCGCCCCATTAAACGTTCAGTTTACTCAGTCCTTCGCCGCCTCGTCACTTGTCATCTGTGACAATATTAAGCCTCGCACTAAGGAGCGAAGCCAACGGTGTGGTTTCTAAGGAGGAGTTTTAATCTGAGAGGCCTGAAGCGCGTGCCGGAACGCGCTCTTCTTCTTCTTCTCCGCATAAATATTCTACAGGTGGAAAGCATCCCACGGAGGAACGCTCGGAAACGTGGATGTCGGCGATTTTTCTCGGCAGCACTATGGTGCCTGGAACGCGTCTCCGACTGGCTTTTTTACCGCGTCCAAAAAGGTGGTCCCTCGATTTCCGCCTGATGACGTCATAGCAGTGTCATGCAGTCGCCGGCCGCAATTCTGGCGGTGTCACATCACATCTGGTATATGTGACAGACGCCTGTTCTGCTGCAGGTGGCTCTCCATCTTGACAGTTCACGGAAGCTTTGTCAGCCAGGAGTCCGGACGCCGCAAAAACAGCAACACTCGCATTCGCTCATGCTTTTTGCTGGAACTTTCACGACCAACCGCCGGGATCGCGACATCCGACAACGTCACTCCGGCTTCTGTGACGTCATTTGTTGCCACTTTGGGACCATATTCGATGCACGAGCGGAGTAGGACGCTAAGCGTACCAGTCGGAGACGCCTTCGAGGCACCGCAGCAGCAGACAAAGTTCAATCATTTTCGGAAGCGCAGCTCCACACGAATTGACAACTTTGTCAAGAAGAAAAAAGGAAAATCATGACGCAGAGTTGACAGCTGTAGATCCACAATGCCAGGCTCAAAGGAAAAAAAAAAGTTCAGCTGACGACATCATTGTGCAAGTTTACAGAATGAGGAAGTGGTTCAGACACCAACATTCGTCTACACCTGCACAGACGTTCGAACACACCAAGCTGCAACATGTAATGAACCTTAGGATATAAATAATATTCTCTCGATATACTCAACCTATCCAGAATAAAGGCAATCACTCTTTAATACCGCTGGCAAACATGACCCCAACGCCAGAATAACGCCAAGGCTACTGTTTTCTACAAGTAGATCTGCTGCAATCCGAGCAGTGATTGACTTCTTGAATGCAGCAGGACAATTATCCCGACTATGCATTCAAATGACACACTGATCAGTGCTCATCACAACTGGAGCACTCTCACCCCAATCGACCTTTTTTTCAAAAAGCTGAAGGCCAAAGGGAAATGCCGCCGTTCTCGGGCTTACATTGTTATCTGCTGCTGCTGACACAAAAACGGCATCGTGGGCCGCCTTTTTTTTTTTTTTTTTGTCCTAATGCCACTATTTTGTGTCGCCAAAGACTGCAATAATTAATTTTATGGGAAAGAGAACACCTGGCATATTAGGTCAACCAAGTTGCGTACCGCGAAGGTTGAATAGTCGACGTGATAACAAGAAAGTTGAAGTACTCTATATGGCGCCCGATGAGCTATGCCGGACCTACAGCGTACATTTTTGGCAAGTTCATCGATGATCTAAGTTTATAATGAGTCATCCATGCGTCGCTAAACCTCTCCTTGTAACCCTATATCAGCCTCGGACCCCATATTCCGAAGCTTCCTGCGCTCTACAATAGGCGGCGCTTGCAACTCCCAAATCTTCGATTATGTTATGGGCCCTGCCTAGCTCTGACCATGAAGCAATGAACAGTCTTCTATTTCATTTTTACGCTCTCATACCTAAATATATATTTTCTTTTGTCACCCCCTCTGCTGGACGACAAAGCTGGCCTCCCTTGTAGTGGCAAACATGCAAGCTCCGGACACCACTAAGCCAAGAGGGGAGTGGAAGCTACGTAGTCGCCGGACCAACCACGCGCCTGCCATTTACCACCTGACCCCGCTCTCGGCACTTGAGTACCCGCACACAGCATGATTACGTGGTGCGATAGTGATGGTTAACAGTTCAAACGGTTACCTGACTCCCACAACTTCTACAGTGAAACCCATAAGCATCCAATTGCTCATATCCCATAATGTCGTACGAAAGACTCAAATAAGTAAAAATCTAAAACTTGAGTAGCGAACTTCGCAATATCAAGGGGCTCAAGACGATCTCCTTTGTCTTATACACTTAAACACATGAAACACAAAATATTCCCACAAATGTGAGCCACAGTTATCGATGTAGCGATGCAGGCGAGTTGGGTCACGATTACTGACTAGTAACAGCGAGCAAAAAAATACACAGACAAAGAGAGGAATTGCGCTCGTCCTGCTCATCCTTCCCTTCATCTGCGTATTTTTTCGCGTAGTTTGTAGCCACATTTATTTAATTAAACACTGCGAATTGAGAAATTATGAAAGACAGGTTTTAAGAAAACAATGACATAGATGTGCCACTTGACACGTAACGTATGGCAGAAAACCATGGTCAAATACTAAATCAATTTCTGTTTTCTTTAATGTGAAAAATGCATAACATGTCCTTTGCATGGTTCTTTTATGTGGTATTACGTGATATAAGTCGTATGCGTGCATACAGCTTACTTTTAATATATATATATATATATATATATATATATATATATATATATAGAGCTTTTTTACCCGTGAACGGAATATAGACGTGCCCCTTCGTGTTTATATATATATAGTTTATAACAAAATAAATGACAAAGACAAGGGAAGAAAGCCACGTGTCCACAGCAGTGTCGCAGCAAGGCAACTGACAACGCAACACCGAGGTTCATGTACGGTGCTGTCAAATATGCTTGTCTTTAGCGCCCCCAGTGCTCATACCTCTAGATGTATGCCAAGCTATACTGAAACAGAATATAAGGATGGCATTGATGCGGTAAGTTTATATTACTGTTCTCCCGCGTCATTTAGAAGAAATCCACAAAACAACCATTCTAAAACGTACTTAATAAGACTGCAATCTTGTTAGTGCGGGGAGAAGAGAAGGTTAATGCGCGGGGAAGAAAAGGAGCAAAAGATACGGGAATTTGGGCTTTTTTTATATATCTTTGGAGGAACCTCTCGCCCCGCAGGAAGCGAATCTCTCGATCGGGAAGAGCAAGGGACGGGCTGGACAGGTTTGAGACAGAAGATTTGATATGTAGAAACTCAAGTATTTCCCTGCCGAATTGAGATTTGTGCCCGCCAAGAATTATGGTTTTCGAGAATTCGGGGGTGCACAAGGGGCAGTTTTTGGCATGAGCCACAACTGGATGAAAGGAGTCGGGAGAAGGAGACGAAATCTCCTTGGCGTGCTCCCGGAGACGGTCATTCACGCCGAGTACATCGGTCAGACGGGGCGTTGCGTGAATGACCGTCTCCGGGAGCACGCCAAGGAGATTTTGTCTCCTTCTCCCGACTCCTTTTATCCAGTCGTGGATCATGGCAGAAACTGCTCTCGTGCATCCCCGAATTCTCGAAAACCATAATTCTTGGCGGGCACAAATCTCAATTTGGCAGGAAAATACTTGAGTCTTTACATATCAAATCTTCTGTATCAAACCTGTCCAGCCCGTCTCTTGCTCTTTCTGATCGAAAGATTCGCTTCCTGCGGAGTGAGAGGTTCCCCCAAAGACGTAAAAAAATTCCCGTATCTTTACTCCTTCCCTTCTCCGCGCATTCCCCCCCCCTTTCCCTTCCTTCCCCAAGAGGGCACCACCGGCGCCTCTTCTCCCCCTCCTCATCTCCGCGCCCTTCCCCCCTCCTCCCTCCTTTCCCCAAGAGGGCACCGCCGACACTCGGGCCTGCGTGTAACGGCGAAGTGTCGATTGACACACAGCAGACCCCACCACCGTGCAGGCGTGGCTGCGAGCCGGGCCACATGGCTCACGCTTCCCTGACCCACCACCCTCCCTCTCAACCTCCCTGACGCCCCCGTCGAGCTTCAGGAGACGAAGTCGAGCCAGTAAACGTTTTGTTGAAAGTCAGAAGCCTGCCTTGTCTTTTCGTCTTCAGTGTCCCTCTTTCCTTATCGTAAATAGGTTTCATACTACAGCGTCAGCAACTAACCGGCTACAGAAGGATCAATTTGTAAATCAAGAGTATTGTCGAAGATTGGTCGTAACGGCAAGAGGGTTATCCCGATTTGGCAGCCAAAGAAATTGGATGTTAGCCGATTTAATCAGATTTTAAAGAGGTCATAAAAAAAAGTATATACGTTTTTTTTTTATTTCGCTCTAGTCACGTGGGTTCCATATCTGGTATGCGGAACACAAAACTATTAATACCCCTGTCAGACGGCGTTCTAAAGTTCCTTTTCACTAAGCTCTGTTATAAAATCAGCCTGTCAGCTCGCGATGTTGAGTGCGCACGTGCCGTACGGCGAGCGCTGGTTAGCCGATTTCATAAATGAGCTTGTTCTAAAAGCTTTTCAAGTGCCCGTCTGGCAGGGGTATTAGACGTTCCAATCTGGAATATGCGAGAAAATATAGGTGAGGCAAAGCAAGAACGTGTGACAATCATGTATTTTTGTGAAAACCTTCCAGCGGCGTGCAAAACATCGAAACGGTGTTTTAACGCATACCAGAAGTGACGACATCCAAGATGGCTGCGATCTTGTGGAGAAGGTGTATGCGAGAGTGATTAAAAAGTATCTGCACTACGGTTAACGTCTGTTGGCCGCACCGACTTATCAGCTCTTTTCGTGCAAGGTCGCTGTCTCTCCAGTCGCTGCGGTACGGGTTTGGACGTGCTACGTCAGTTCAGTTCTGAGTGAGGTGCGAGAAACAATGGCTGCCCCATTTGTGATTTGCACGAGTGGGAGATATATACTTTTAATGGTATGAGGGTATGTCTGGTGTCGATATTTATCCAAGCCACTGTGCACAGCAAAACGTGAGTGTTTTGTCGCAAAAAAGAATGTAATTGATGGGGTACAACACTTTAAAAAAGAGCGCACAAGGGGCAGTCATAAAGAAAAAGCCCGACGCCCGTCCGCGCCCCCGACTGATGACGACATTGAGCGTGCACGTGAACTGATTCTCTCGGATAGAGGAGTGACATTTGATGATGTGACAAATAACTCGCAAATCAGCCAAGGCTCTGCCTATGCAATGATCTATGACAAACTTTAGTTTGGAAAGGTTCAACCTTTCCAAACGATGCAACAATTTTGATACTTTGGGCAAATACCGCTTAGAACGGATTCCTAACGTTGATGACCTATGAAACACGCGTTCGTCTTTCACCCCACGCAATATACGTCCCAGAAAAAAATGTAAAAAAAACGAGCAGCGTTTATCTCTTCAACTCGCAGCCAGAACAAGCGGACACGTGATCTGGAGCCGATTATATGCCGCCAATGTTGATCATAGCCACGCGCTGGGGTTGGCAAAGCACAGGACACGTGCTGGGTTCCAGACATTGTTATGGCTCGGCTATCGTCGTCGTTGCAGCGATTGGACACGGGCCACTACCCGAATGATTCTCGAGCTAGTAATTATCACGAGCCCAAATCGAGTGCCACGCAATGCTCGGGTCCAATCTATAAACCGCATTCAAATATCGTCATATGGGTGACCTGCGATCCCCACGATACGTCATCGAATTTTACAAAGAAGAAATTGAATAAAAATGATTGCTTTTGTCCTCGAAATTTCACCGCAGCAAAGGAGTTTCTTGGCCAGTGGAGTCGCATGCGAGTATCCTTGAGTCCCGCTAGTGCCAGTAAGCTCGTGTAAAGTGAAAAACATTCCAATTGAATATCGATGCACCGCTCCTTTAAAATAAAATTAGCAGTCAGAGTGCGGTTAATTTTTTAATCTCCTCCTATATCATGGTTTTATTTTCCTCCCCTAACAGCAACTAAGAATGATATTTCCAGAGTAATTTAGCAAAGCGTAGCGCTTAAAGGAAACTGTTGGTTGAGTGTCCGTGTAAAACAAGCGCTCACTCTAAGAACCAGTTACGTTGCTACAAGTTCGTAATAACTAAAAAATCTCGTAACCATCAATTCTATCTTCAAATGAAGTAGTGAAAAAATAAATAAACTCGCGATGAGTGACTGGGAAAATTGTTTGCAGTACGCAACGTGAAAATCACTTCAAGGAGTAGTTTCGTGAAGCAATCACGAGTCATGTTTGACTGGGCGTGCTGTCGTTTTGGTTGTTGTAAACGGAACCGACGCAAATTGCATTTTTATGACGGCAACTCTTACGGCACTTCCAAATTTATTCACTCGTACTCCCGGAGTGAGCATGTCAACTGTATATTGTGATGCATTTCACGGGAACACTTACAAGTCTGTAGGTCTGACCATGAAAGCAAACGAAGATACCACGCGGCGATCCTTTCTGTGTTGACGTGGCGTGCGCGCATATATGGGAACGCGACAGAACAGCACACGACAAAACAGCACGCGACAAAACAGCACGGTCAAAACAGCATGCGTCAAAACAGCACAGCGTCAAAACAGCACAGCGACAAAACAGCACGCGTCAAAATAGCACGCGACAAAACGGCAAAACGGCACAGCGACAGAAGAGCACGTGCCGAAACAGCACGGCGTCAAAACAGCACAGCGACAAAAGAGCACGCATGTAGCAACTTCAAGCGCGTTCTTCACCCCCATCTGAGCGAATAATAGCGAACCTCCTTCACGTCTTCATTTATTGTCGCTAGGTTATAGAGAACTTTATTGCCCATTTCTGAGCTTACCAAACTCCGCAACCCGGAACCCCCCTCCCCCCCCCCCCCCCCCCCAAAAAAAAAAAAAAAAAGTTCGCGTCACCATTTTTCCTTGGGCTTTTCACGAAGTTACAAAAGTCAGTTACAATGATGAGTACTAGTATCAGTCCACATAATAAAATGTATGCTAAAGATGGCTAAACTTAAATCCATAAAAAAATATGACAGCAGAAATTGCTTTGCGACCCCCAACTGGATCTGTCGGACCCACAGTTTTGAAGACAAGGCAGTTGGTAGTGGACCACGATTTTTATCACAACAGGAGTTACCGATCGGCATCCAGCGTAAAGCATTCCCGTAAGGTGACAGGCGGAAAGCTTTAACAAACGAATGCAATTGCTCGAACTTCCTTCAGAGAAGCTATTGTTGGTACGTTTGTCAGATTTTTCCGTGTCGTTTATAGTCAGCAGAAAAGAAAAGGTCAGTGTTAATTGAAACAGGTCAGTATTTTTGATGGCGTTTGGAGGGGGGGGGGGGGGGGGTGATTCATTCCTGACTGTATGACCACTTCCTTTTGCAGTTTTCAGCTTGTCTCCGAAGTCGATTCAACCTTCAACAAAAGCTCAGGGGCCGCAGGGGTCTTCAGGATGAAATCTGGATTTTTGACCTGATAGGTATTTGTGTGCCAAATTCTTTGTTCAAAGAAAATCTAATCGTGTACTGCACAATGCAAATCAAAAGCGTCCGTATAAAAGCCGCTCATTTTTTAACAACACTAGCTTCCATCTACTAAAGAAGAGCGTCAATACGATTTTTTTTTTTTTTTGGCCGTTTTTGTAGTTGGCGCGAATTTACCAGCTCTCGCAGTCGTGAAAATGGGGAAAAATCGCACTGAGTACAATGCTTGCAAATTTCTGGATTTTTATACTTCCCTCTCCGACCGAAGTGGTAGTGAAGCTCATGCTCGTCCTGTGTACAAATACGCGCACACGACGATAATGTCAGATCACGATAGGGCCCCAGTCCGTCTTGCTGAAAAGGTCGCGTAGGCTGCCACACACAGTAACAAATAAAAAAAAACAGTACCTTCTTAACTGACTATACATTTCAAACAAAAGCTTTTAAATATTACATTTTCGTCAGTATACTGATTTTCGTCAATAAACCGAAAAGAACCGAGACGTTTATGAGTCTACAAATATTTACCGCAAT